GACACCATACAGTACAGAAAAGGTCTGACCTCGTACTTTTTCAACTGGTGCCAAATGGCTATGGCAGTCCTCACTGGGTTTACTAGCCAGGGGACCTGGTAAATCTGGACAGCAGAACCAGGAGAAAGAGTTACTGGGTGCAGGTTGGAGGTCACCTTTTTCCAAATGATGCCTTACTGGGCGCACAGACGAGAACTAGTTCAAATATTGTGTTGATCCACAATATCGGGGAGGACCGAAGAGGCCGCATGCGTGATAATCTGCATGATAAGCACAAGGCTATTCAGCCTCACTTTATAAATAAATAAAATAACATTTATTTATAGATAACTTTTTAGATAAAGAGATCTCCTGCCACTTGAAGAGCGCTACAGTGCGCCGTGCGAGATACGAGAGAAATAAAGATCTGCGCTTTAGAACCAGGCTGTCGAGCTCAGCCTCCTTCGCCCCGTGCAAGTAAACAACTGTGTTCTGCTAACACAGGCACCCTTTCAGCTTGCTGGAGCTGCAGTTCAGCCCAGGCGTCAAATGCCGCTTTGCAAAAAAAGAGCACACGAAAAGAAACAAAGCACACAAGAAGAAAACAAAGAGGCAATGAACAGCGGCACAGAATTACAGCTAGAAAGACTGATTTCTACATAATTCACATCGTCTGTAAGGCGTGGGAAAGGGCCTCTTCTGGGTGATCCCTGGCCTGGAATCTTGGTTGTGCAACACAAGGGTCGCATGGGGACAAAGGCAAAGACGTTGGACAGGAACCCAGTTATTCAACTGCGACCGACCAGGGAGAAAGTTGCAGTCTGAACTTCGTACAGGCAGCAAAAGCAGAAGCTGGTTAGTTCAGGATAGTGCTCTGTAATCGTTAAAAGGGATTGCCACAGTATAGCAATCTTACCTCGCATCTAGAAGACATAAGATACGGGAAGGGGGGAAGGGGTGTGGGTTAAAAAAATATTTAAAGTCTCCTTTCATTACAAATGTTTTTGAAAAAGTCAAAAACAGCTGTCACTTGAAGTAGTCTGTGTTTCAAAACTAGCGCACACCGTAGGGCCCGATCGCTTGTCCAGCTTTACAGTCACCTGTGTCTCTGAGCCTTTGAACTTCAAATGTTTCAGTTTTCACACAGAAAGCCTCCAGTGACAGGCCTGCAAAATTTTCCCTCTCCTTTCAATTGAAGAGACTGAGTGAAAGGGAGTCACAACCTCAAAAGGGCGTTTTTTTTTTTCGGGGAGCACTCTTGAAGCGGAATAGTTCACCAACACCCCTTTAGATAGGTGCACCCCAAATACACAGCTCCCCCGAAACTGGACTGGGCCTTATTGAAGAACTTATTTTTCAGGGGCAAAATGCTTATCCGTGACGAGGGTAAGCCCATCAAAAACACAGCTGTAATTCACAGTGCTGTGCGGTCCACACACAGCTTGTGGTGTAGTTTTGCTTGTTTGTACCGAGGCTTTCTGAAATTATACAGGCCAGCATTCGCTGCAACCGGATTAAAATCCCACACCAAACTGTCTCAGCAAAACTCCGCCCAGCACTGCAGGGTTTAGCGCTCGATTCCTGTAAAGGTAGGGGTTAATTCGGAATTATGTGGCTTGAAAATAAAAGGACTTCAATAAAATGCACATCCTTCACAATCTCAACGTCAACCCCCGGCAGCTGTATCAACTGAGCCATGTCTGTTGTTACTGGGAGATAAACTGCAGCGCTGGGCGATTTGAAACCACCGGTTTGCGTGACTGAACCTTGTACCATCTATCCTGTACCAAATTACATCGTATTAATTAACGCACCCTACATTTGACAAAATCACAGACGGAGCATCGGTCCAACGAGTCGGCATTTATGAAAACTTACCATTTTGTTTTTTTTTTGCAGACGTGGTGCTTCCCCGACAAGACAAAAACGGTTCAACCGCAATATTAAAAACTCAAACTAATTTTAAAAGAAAGGCAGCAAAGGAAAGCACTGCATACCACAAGCTTACGAAAACACCCGAGACGTGTTTGACAAGTAGGAGCCGGTACTACGGAAACGAATGAAACCTTATGCTCTGGCAAAACTGTCCGAAGGAGCACAGCGCTACAGTCCACAAAGTTCCGGGCAAATAAAGCAAAAGGCACAAACACACAACTACGCGTATCGTGCACTGGCTCCCTTAAAAAAATATTTGGCTTGTTAGCTAATTAAATTTCCCTCACAGCTGAGATCTGGTCTCAAAATGATTTCCGAGTCATCACTGTCCACCCCCCCCCCCAATAATTGAGAACCTGATTTCAATTGACATAACCGGGTAATGTTTTACAGTCATTTAAAAATATCTGAAGGAAAACTACTTTGATAAAACTTTGGATGCGCCCGTATTATGTTTACAATGTGTATATTAACAAATGTCAATCACACATCATCTCGGTATGTGCTATAACTGCTTTGCAAAATCATTCAGTGTTGTGTGTAGCAATTTGCAGAGATGAATGTAAGATAGGAAGCTCACAAATACACACAGAGGTATTAAAAACTCGACAAATGTAATTGCATCCAATACCTATATGATATGTGTATAAGGCCTCAGAAAATATGCAACTAGGATAAATTTGATGTCTTAGACTGATGTTGATTGTGGGGGTGATTTGGTGATTGTGTGATTGTGGGGGGGTTAGAAAGTGATGTGATGTGACAGTGGGGAGTTGTGAAGTCCTGGCAGACTCATCATGTCTAGCAAGCACAGCTGGAACCCCAGGAAGAACAGGGGTGCCTTTGAGCCCACAGGTGCCAATATTCAATATCGTCTGGGAGGATTCGCTGGTCTACAGAGATCTGCATGGAGTACTGGCACACAGAAGCACATGATGGAAGGCTTAATACTCCACACGTAGTACTTGTTTTTAGAAGTGTATAATGTCAGCATGCCCAGAGAGGTTGGGCAGCCAGTTGACCTTGGACCCCCAGAGGTTTTCTTTCTCCTTACAGAGGAGTTTTTGGTTCCTCTCCTCCGTTGTCTTCTGGCTTTTTCTCTTTCTGTGTTGCAACGTCACGTATTGTCACACAGCCTTGTTCAGTGCCTGTGGGCAACCTTGTTGTGAAAGGCGCTATACAAAAATAAACGGCATTGAATTGAACTGGAAGTGTCTGTGACTGGCTGCACCTGAAGGCCTCCCTGCAAAAGCCTGGAGTCAGCAGCCGATTGTGATGCAATGACTCCACACTGCTGTTCTAGAACCCTGGGAGACACGGGCCCTGCCTGGGCTTCAGTTGCGCAGCAGACAAGCCAGCAGAGAAAGCCACTCCGAGTCCCTTTCTCTGGGGGAACAAACGTGTCCCCTCCCCGCCAAAGCCTCCGCAGACAAACCCATTACAAAAAAAAAACCGCAAAAGTGTGTAAGGAAGTCGGCAAGATGGAGGAGCCCTCGACCTCGACCAGGGGCCAAAGATCCCACATGGAGCGGAAAATGAGCGCGATGGCGTGCAGCGTCTTCAACGAGCTGCGTCTGGAGGGGAAGCTGTGTGACGTCATCATCAAGGTCAACGGCATGGAGTTCAACGCCCACAAGAACATCTTGTGTGGCTGCAGCTCCTACTTCCTGTAAGCAGTCCAGAAGCCGTATTTAGGGTTAGGGGCCTGCTGTATAGTACTGTAGTACTGTGGTTACATGGCGGTGCTGCTGTATAACTCGACTGTGCTAGAACTGTAATGGTACCTTATTGTAACAATGTTTGGAAAAGCAAAAATACACTTCTCCGCTGAGCCTTCAAGGGCAGACCTAGCATGGTTTTTTCAAATCAGGGACATTTGTTTTGTGACAAGTGAATCTGATTTCGCTGGTGTAACTCACGTCTGGCAGAGATTATCTGATGTAAAGGGAGGGAATGAAAAAGAAAAAAGTCTCTTGTCTCCTTCCCCCTCAGAGCCCTGTTCACCAGTGGCTGGAATAACTCCGAAAAGAAGGAGTACAACATCCCTGGAGTGTCCCCGGAGATGATGAAGCTGATCATCGAGTACGCCTACACCCGCACCGTGCCCATCACCGCCGACAACGTGGAGGGCCTGTTGGCGGCGGCCGACCAGTTCAGCATCCTGGGCATCGTGCGGGCCTGCTGCGACTTCCTGGAGTCCCAGCTGTGCCTGGAGAACTGCATCGGCATCTGCCAGTTCGCCGACTTCTACCACTGCCCCGGGCTGCGGCGCAAGGCCTACCTCTTCATCCTGCACCACTTCGAGGAGCTGGTGAAGGTGTCCCAGGAGTTCCTGGAGCTCTCCGCCGGCCAGCTGCGCGACATCATCGAGAAGGACGACCTCAACGTCAAGCAGGAGGACGTGGTCTTCGAGGCCATCCTGCGCTGGATCGCCCAGGCGCCCAGCGAGCGCCGGGCCTGCATCTCCGTGCTGCTGCCCAAGGTCAGTGCCAGCCCGCTCCTGGGGCAACCTAACCAACTCTTCAAAGCCTGGAGCACTACCGCACACTCCTCTGTTTGCTCCCGAATCCAGACCCAGGTACTGTAGGCAGGCCTCCAGCCTCTGTCCAGAACTGTACCTGCACTGCCTGTACCTGAAGTTATGTTAAGATTTGCTGAAGTGGCATCATACAGTATGCACACGAGATTGCGTTTGCCCAAGGTATCTGACATGGCTTAAAAAAAAAACATCATGTACTAGTGGTATCCTGTCTGTTCAATTAATTCACAACACCACCTTGACTACCACTTTGTTGGAAAAAGTATAGGTTGATTCCCTGCTGCCAAGAGAAGAAAGGAAACACAACGTTTCGGCTGTGGAGCCTTCTTCGGGTGAGAACACAGCTGAAACATTGCGTTTCGTCTCTTCTCTTTTCAGCAGGGAATAAACCTTTACTTGTTCCTTTGCAGCCTACGCACCCTGATGCAGCTGCCCACCTGAACTACCCCCTCGTTGGATGAATGAATCTAGTGTTAATTGAAACCAACATGAACGTGTATCCGAATATGCCTGTCTAGTTAATGAATAGCCCTGCTTTGGATATAGAGTGTGCATGCTGCTGTATTGGCGGGTGGCAGCCTCTGCAGGAGCAGATCCTGGCACAGGCCGGTCACCCCCCTCCTCCTCCTCCTCCTCTCGCTGTCGCCGTGCCCGCCGACAGGTGCGCATGGCCCTGATGAACGCGGAGTACTTCATGAACAACGTGAAGAACAACGAGCTGGTGAAGGACAGCGAGGAGTGCAAGCCCATCATCATCAACGCGCTGAAGGCCATGTACGACCTCAACATGAACGGGCCGTCCAGCTCCGACTTCCGCAACCCCATGACCCGCCCGCGCCTGCCCTACTCCATCCTGCTGGCCATCGGCGGCTGGAGCGGCGGCAGCCCCACCAACGCCATCGAGGCCTACGACGCCCGCGCCGACCGCTGGGTCAACGCCACAGTCCAGCAGGAGAGCCCCCGGGCCTACCACGGCGCCGCCTACCTGAAGGGGTTCGTGTACTGCGTGGGCGGCTTCGACAGCGTGGACTACTTCAACAGCGTGAGGAAGTTCAACCCCGTGGCCCACACCTGGCACCAGGTGGCGCCCATGCACTCCCGCCGCTGCTACGTCAGCGTGGCCGTGCTCGACGGCTTCATCTACGCCATGGGCGGCTTCGACGGCTACGTGCGGCTCAACACGGCCGAGCGCTACGAGCCCGAGACCAACCAGTGGACCCTCATCTCGCCCATGCATGACCAGAGGAGCGACGCCAGTGCCACCACCCTGTATGGCAAGGTGTGTGATCGGGGCCGCGGGACAAGTCCTGGCCGGCGCCCCCTGGGCAGTCTGACAGCTGTGGCTCTAAAGCAGCTCAGGACTTGCTAGGCTGCTGCCCTGTCTTCTACAGACCTTAAGTAAGGCACTTAAAGACAGCCTTGAGCTGAAATGCTCTTGCACCTCTTTAAGAGCATATTCTCTCCTGTTCGTCAGGGCAAGACCTGCAGATCCCCCCCCCCCACGCCAATCCGCCTCCCATGTTCCACTTCCAAAACAGTCACCTTCAAAGGGGCCTGCAGAGTCGCGTTTGAGCTGAACGGACAGATTTTGACAGAGACGTCACTGTGAAATGCTAAGTGATATGCCAGCACCCATAGGACCCTGCAACTCACAGCTGGCAACCCAGTGAAGCTCAGCAGGTGTGAGCCTGGTCAGTACCTGGATGGGAGACCTCCTGG